GGTTAGAATTGCCAAATCTAATATATACATATGATAAATACTAGCTACTACGACTATTAATTTTGCCAAATATGCTTGAAATGTGAATCTCAGTTACATTATTATCTTTTTTACCGAGCATTTCTATACATCCAAACATATGATGAAAAACTACAAAATCTAACACATTTGTTAGTGAACTTGAGATATTATCTCTCATTATGACAATCATTACCAAAATGATGAAGATTAATTATACAAAGTCAAATTTTGAAATTTTTGTTTTTGTTATATTTTAATGGAAACATTAACATAAATAATTCCAACTATTTACCACCTTCTCATTTTAATCCCTACAATACTTCAACTCAAGATAATCCTAACTATTGACTAACCTTCTCATATTAGTCTACACGTTTAGATAACGTATTAAGCCGGCATGATATGTCACTTTAAAATTGGTTTGCTTTTAACCTTCTTCCCTAACCTCTCTCCATTCCCTATATTCCTGTTCTCCATAGTCCATAATATAGTCTGCAAAACTGCCTATACACCAACAAAAATCGTTCATAACCTTGAATTAACAACAAAACACTAGTCCCTCAAAAATAAATAAATAAAATAAAGAAAATAAAATAAAAAAGTCGAGCTGCGGAGTTGGACATAGCAACATCACGGTGAAGTTAGTTGCCATTAAAGGTTAGCCGGAGAAAAAAGAATCGGACCCTTTTCAATTTTCTTTTCGGTCAAATTAGGCTAGGAAATGAACAAAAATAATATACTTTTGCTCCCAGTATCACAATTTAGGAGTTGATAAATCCTAAATTAATCCCTAAATTCAAATCAAAATTGCAAAACAATCCGAAACTCGTGAATTGCACCTTCACAGCTTAAATGGTAGAACAAATTACAATTTTGAAGTCAAAATCTCGTAGGCAATCAATTTTGGAGAAGCATAGGACAAACAGGGGATTAAATTGCAAACGAAATCCCATTGCAGAATTCTAGATTACATGGAAATTTGGAATACTATTGTTTTCTTATTAGTTGTGCAATATAGCAGATGTTTCCCTTTGACTTTAGAAGTGAACATCCAAAGACCAAAGTAGATATAAAGTATGGAGTTGTATGCAAGAGAAGGGGTTGGCTGAATGGCTTGGCAACCGTTGAGGTGGTATGGCAGAATGTCTGTGCTAAGTTTATCGAAATGGTGGAGGGAGAAAGAAAGGGTGAAATGTAAAAAAAAAAAAAAAAAAAAAAAAAAAAACGGGATTAAAAATGTTAACTGATATTATAGGTAACCTGTAAAAGAGTCTATTTTGAGAAGAAGCACCCAATAATTGGGATTATTCTAGGTTAAATAATAGTTGGGATTAATTTGAGAAGGACATTAATAGTTTGGATTATTCTTATTAATTTTCCCCATTTTAATTTGAATTTTTTGTTTGTGAAAAACTGTATAATATTTTCTAGTTGCAAAGCTTTTCTAGCTAATATAACGAACTAATCTAAAGTCTTAATTTGATCAGTCATTAGAAACAAATTAATTTAGGAAAAATTAAAAAAATAATCCCAACTTTCACGGATTTTGTTTCAATAATCCCAACTTTGGATTATTCTGGAATAATCCGAACTTTGGGAGCTGTTTATTTTCTTCAATCCCAAACCGGTCAACAAAAGTCGATGATCTGTTATAACAGGTTATGTGCCATGTGTCAAGCTATAATTAAAAAAAAAAACCAGAAAAATTTAAAAAAAGAAAAATTTTAAGAAAAAAAATTAATTTTTTTTAAAGAAAACCAGAAAATCCTTATCCCTACCTGACCACCGTAACCCCCACCACCTAACGCCGATCGGCCGCATCTACCCCTCCCTTCCCTTGCCCCAATGTTGCGCCGCTTTCCCCCCAATCCCCCTGTGCCGGTGTTGTAACCCACCTCTACCCCAATCCCCTCCTTTTCCGATTCGATTTTTCGTCTCCACAACAAGACCACCCTTTAAACCCCTCCAACCATTCAAAACTCCCTCGAAACCCCTCCCCCACTCCCGAAAACCCCCAACAGCCACTTCCTCACCATCGAAAACCCTAGCTACTAGGGTTTCGGGGTAAAGAGAGTGGCACTTGGAAGTCTTCGAAGTGGGGAAGGGGCTTTATTGGTGGTTATGTGGGGGTTTCGGGGAGGGGATGGTGGTTTAGAGGGAAGCGGCCGGAGCGACGACTATAGTGGTGGGGGACTGACGGCGGTCTGGCGAGGGATGGTTGGGCTAGGCAGGTTGCCAGGTCTCTTAAGGTGGTTGGGTGGGGTTTTTTTTTAAAAAAAAAAAAAATTTATTTATTTAACTAATTAATTTACGACACGTGTCACTTTAACAAAAAAAATAAAATAAAAATAACTCATTCAACCGGTAATCGGTATTTGGGATTGAAGAAAATCAAAAGCCCCCAAAATTCGGATTATTTTAGAATAATCCAAAGTTGGGATTATTATTTTTAATTTTCTCATTAATTTATTTATTTTATTGTAGGGTCTTGCCCAATACATGTTAGATATACTAGTAAACGTCACATGTAAGATTATTTGTGATAGATCCTTTAAAATTAGTAATTTGCTATAAGCTTTCATCCCAAACAAGGGTTTTAGACATAGTATAAGCATACTATTTATGTGTTTCATTTTAGTTGACATGTTTGTTTGGTCACGTTTTTCAATGCACAAATTCAACTATTAATATTAAAGGTGATCAAAGTTAGCCCGACTCGATTTTGGGGAGAAATTTTCGGCCCAAAAATTCATTATTTTTGGGCGGGTTTGGGAATGCGTCTTTATGCATATATAGTTGATTTTTTTAGGCCCGACCCGACCATTTTTAGGCGGGTTTGGGCACAAAAATTTCGGCCCGACCCGACTCGTGAAGTGGGCTTATTTTTTTGGCTTCGGCCCGGCCCTGACCACCCAATGATCACCTCTAATTAATATCATTAACTATCTATAAGCAAAAATTATAAAAAAAGAAAAAAAAAAGTGTGTCTTGTGTGTGGCTAACCACACCATGTGGCCGCTTGTAAAATAAAAATAAAGTAACCCCTATAACACTGACCGAGTAACCCCTATAATACTGACCGAGTAACCCTTGAGTGACCCCTATAACACTCACGAGGTAACCTCTGTAAAACTGAACGAAGTAACCCTCATGATTGATAGTCACACTATGTGACCAGCCACATATAAGAATTTGTGGAAAAAAGATATTTGAAAATTAAAATATATATCATGATGAATCTAACAATATTCCATGTTATATTTTTTATACACGGTTCATGTCAACTAAAAAAACAAAGGTAGTATAAATAAAGCGATCAAAAGTTAGAGATTGTAAAAGTCATAGCTATGGATTTTGTTGGGATATTTACATTGGGATTTGAGATGGTTTAAGGCATAGGTGAAAGATGTGGGTTTCTTTCCGGAAATATTGTAAGATTTGTGACATATCATGATACCAAATCTTAAGAGTGTATATTAGATCCCTTTTAGGCGTGATCAATCTTTTAGGTAATAATATAATGTTTATGTAATACGGAGTAGAAAATGAGAATATGCAACAATAAATGTAAATTTAATGGTATTTTTATAAATAAGTGAACAACTATATATTAATTGTGGCTTTATACATGTTGTTTTCATTATAGAAATACGATGATAATTGAGATTTTTTTGCTTATCGAATTACAAAAATACCACTAGATAAGTAGATAAATAAACATATTTTTGTTTATTATGAAGATAAACTGAGAATTTCTAGTAGAAAATTTAGGATACAAAGCTAACAAGCGCATGCGTACAAAGGAACATTCATTCCTCAGACCTCAGCAATCAGCTTGCGATTAGGGATCAGAAGAAATTGACTTCGTATAATTTTGGGTTTGTGTTTGTCAAAATTATGTACGAATGGAACTCCACCTTACATGCATTGGGCTATATAAATGGGCTAGCATTTATAAATCCCATTAGAGATGAATTAGAATTAGAGCCCACATGTAGTGAGCACCAAATTAAAATATGCGATTTTCATTAAATTATACTCTATAGTATAATGCCTAGTAGTCTAGTACGACTAGTTAGAAAAGTTGGACCTGATGAATCGGATTTGGATGAGAAAGTAAATAATAATAATAATAAAATCCGGTATGTGACATTCCTTTCGATAGGAATTAAATGGGTAAGTCACAATACTTACCTCTTAAGCGGAAGCTCAACAAGATCTAGAACTCGTCTTATGAACCGTATTGGGAGGGTTATCAGAGTCCTCAACGATTGTCACACTCCAAAACCCAGAGTCTAGGATGATGACTCTAATGGAAACACTCTCAATTTTGTGGATTATTTTCAAATTGTACGTATATTGGCTACAACGGATATCATATTTATAATATTAGGAGTCCTTAACACTTAAGATTTTAGGTGTAACTAATTCTCAACAGGATAAATATCATCTTATTTACTTTCCTAAAATATAGATATTATCAAGTAACAAATATTTGCTTAATATATGATAGACTTTGGAGGCCACTTAATCTCCAACACTTTCTATAAAAGGAAACGAATTCTATATTTTCTTTAAGTGAAACTTATTGAATTATATCTAGAACTAATAAAACTGTACTTTGTTTTTTTCCAACCTTGATTTTGCATAAAAGAAACAATATATATATATATATATATATATATATATATATATATATATATATATATATATATATATATATTTAATGAAACCATACTATGTACAAATTTATACACAGTTTGTGCATGAAATCTGACAAAATTATACAACTCATGTTACATTAAATTGAAAGTATTACTTTTAAAAATAAATGAAAGCATTATACTTCTAAGAAATTAAAGTAGTAGGAATTCCTGTCAAAAACGAAAGTAGTAGAAATGTGAGGGTATTTTATGTACTTTAAAATTTGGACACCAAGTCCCCATTGGTCAACTTATTTATAGAGCAATAAATTTTAAAAAGAATTATAAGAAATCATGTTATAAGGAATGAAAAGTACGGTTTGGAAACTAAATATCTATAATCTATAATCTATAAATAATAATAATAATAATAATAATAATAATAAACCATATTAAACATTAAAACTTCCATCCCTGTGCACTCAACTGTGTTTATGAACAGTGAAAGTTGGCGCTATTACTCTACTACCCCCAACAATAATGTATTGCCAAATCTACCCTTCATCTTTTATCCCCCTTTGACCGTGCTTTTTCCTCTTTTCCTGGCTTCCTTCCACCATTCACTACTTCACTTCACTCAGTTTCTCTCTCTTCCTTCTCTTCTCCAATTCGCACACCCACCTGTGTTTGCCTTTTTTTTTTCTCGTCCTCCAGCTTCTCTTTTTTCTCTCTAAAATAGGCGGAAGGAGGAAGACGGAGCGAGGTTTGGTGGATTCGAGTTTGAGGTGAACTGATCGAGGTATTATTTAACAATAACATCGCAAATTAAACCCTAATTCGAGTTCGATCTTTGTGTTTTTTTAAAAAGAATTTCTGGAAAAAATTTCCGTGCAATATCTTGTGGAATTTCTGATCTATTTTGTGATTTGTGTGTTGTTGTTGTTGATATTTGTTTGTATTTTGTGGAATTGATGGAATTTTAATTTGATTGATTGAGTGAATGAGAGGTGGATTGAGAAACGACAATTGAAGAAATTTGGGCGTTAAATGCTTCAAATTTCGCCAAAAAATCGCCCAAATTTATAAATTTATTGGTGAGAGTTTGGAGTGGCTATTTTACACGTTGATGAAGACTTTTGTTGTTCCAAGAATTTTAGGTATTGCTTAAAGTAGGGTTTATTTTGCGCTATTAATGTTAAATTCAGTTTAGAATTTTGTTTAAATTGCGTTCTTTTGTTGAATCTACTTGTAAAAATGGCCAGGGAAGTTGATATTTGTTTGCGTTTTTCACTTCTACGCTTTCTCCAACCCTCCACTGAAGCAACTTTTGAACCTTCCTCTTCGTTGAAGCAACTTGAGAGGTAATTTGTGAGCTCTTTCCCAAATTAAAGTCAAGAAGAACCGCAATTCCCAAATTTCAGCCAAAGTTTTAAGAATTCCCAAAGTACCGTCCACGTAAGCACTGGTTAAAAAACCGGTTTTTTTTTTTTTCCGGTCCAGGGTAAACCGCTACTTGAAGTAGCGGTTTCTTTGCAATAAACCGCCACTTCAAGTAGCGGTTTCTTAGTTTAAAACCGCTACTTGAAGTAGCGGTTTGTTTACAAAAAACCGCTATTTTATGTAGCGGTTTATTTTGGAAAACCGCTACTTCAAGTAGCGGTTTACTTTGAAAAACCGCTACTTGAAGTAGCGGTTTACCCTGGACTGGTTTTTTTTTCAAACTTGCATAATCACTCAAAAAAAAAAACTGCAAGTTGTGTACCTGTAAAATATGAGATATATAGCATATTTTCAACACAACCACCATAAATAACAAGTTTATGAAGATCTAAGGAAGTCGAAATTGCAAAGTCGAATATTTTTCAATTGATTAAATATAACAAAATCCAATTCTAAGCATTTACAAAAAAATTAGTTTAGTTCCAAAATATACACTTAGCTCGGGCGTTGCTTCTTCCCATGAGGTGACGATGAAGATGATGCAGCTGTCTCCTCTGGAATGTCATGGCCGGGGAAGAAGTCCCAGTGAACGGGTATCACTGGACGACTAATGCCTCTCGTCGACTCCACTCGTGTACATGGTCCGAATGCCGAATCTCCCAATTACGCTGTCCCCTTCGATCCTTCCTGTGTAGAGCAACGTCCGTGTCTACATTCTGTGGGATCGGCTGGTCTAACCCGAACTGACGAAGGACTCGGTCTGGGAGGTGGAACTCAACGACGTCAAAGCATATCAGAGGTGCCCGTGAACGCCAAATGTGCATGTCTGAGCGACAAATCTCCGGAAGTCGATCCATCACCGCCTCAGTATATGGCTGCCAAATCATCTAATTCCCAAAACAAGTATGTCAACATGTATATGACTAACATAATGGAAGAAATACAATGCACAAAAAAAAAGAAACACCGATTGTACCTGGTCCTCGCGCTGATGGTCAAACGCATCTCTGTAGTATGGTAGTCCAGAAGCAGTATGCGCACACGATCCACTCACGTCCCACGCTGACCATATGCTCCCTAACTGAGAGAACTCTATCAGCTACGCCACTCCAAACATCGTGGCTCCTATGGGAAGTCTGCAAGCGTAGAACAGATGGATCAACTGGGCCTGGACGAATCACCGGCTCCATGGGACCTACACGATAACAAAAAATTGAATTAATGTTAAGCGTTCGAGAAAAAACATAAATATTAAACAAGAATATATAATTAATCATGTTACCCAGATGATCCAAATCCACCAATAAGAGTAGGACATGTCTTCTTGTTATGCCCAGGTCGCCGACAAACACTGCATGCCTTCTTCACACGATTGGGACGCTCATCCATTTCATTTCGAATTCTAGTGGACCGTCGGCCTGGGCCTCTTTTCAAATCTGGGTTGGCAATAGTAGTAGGACCATTGTAAGCTGACCAGTGGCAAGGATCAGGAACTGGTGCGAAACACTTCGCGTATGAACGCCTATATTCGGCGGTCATGAAAAAAGAATCCACAAAGTCTGCATGTGATAGGCTTCTATGACGACAAACTGCTAGTACATGAGAGCATGGGAGCTTGTATATTCTCAATTTCTCACAAGTACATGTCTTGCTCAACAGATTCACAGTGTGGGAGTTACCACCTTTACCAGCTTTTCTTCTTCCACGACCGGTCCTAACCTGATACAACCCGATGGCATCATAGTCAAAAGCAACAACCTCATGGTGCGTGGCTTTCTCCATGTTGGCTTCTATTGTCTTCTTAGCCTTTTCCGATAACTCATGGCCCTCTTCAAGTCTTCTTTTACTCCAACTTCTTCTAGTTGCAAAATAGGAGTTAACCCGGAAAAAGGTCATTTGCACTAAAGCGGTTATCGGGAGACATCGAGCCCCCTTTAAGACTCCGTTGAAAACTTCCGACATGTTTGTAGTCTTCACACCAAACCTGAAACCACCATCATGATGAATGGACCACTTACTGTACGGAATTTCCATCAAGTACCTACGGGCCTCTACATTCAAGTCACCAATTTTGTTGATGTAGTAATCAAACTTCTTCTTCTGCCTTGCAGTAGCTGCTTTGCCAAAGAGGTTCTTTATGACGACACTTTTAAATTTTGAGTTCACATTAGAAGCCAAGTGTCGTGTACAGTACTTGTGGTAGGCATTGGGCTCCTCCCAACCACTTCCAACTTCTTCCATTGCTGCTAAAATACCAGCATGTCTGTCAGATATCACACATAGCCCTTTCCTATCTGTAACTCGAGCACGAATACAAGCCATGAACCAAGACCAACTAACATTGTTCTCTCCTTCGACAACCGCAAAAGCAAGGGGGAATAGTTGAAAATTGGCATCCGTTCCCATAGCAATGAGTAGAGTGCCTTTGTATTTGCCATATAAATGAGTGCCATCAATGGTGATAAGGGGTCTGCAGTGACGGAATCCATCAATACATGGCTTGAATGCCCAAAAGACTCGTTGAAAAACATGTGTTCCAGGAACAGTACACTCTAACAACCTCCACTCAACAACAGTTCCAGGATTTGATTCCTTGAGAGCTTGCATGTACTTAGGCAACTGTTCATATGAACCCTCCCAATCCCCATAAATGAGTTTTATTGCCTTTTGTTTCGCTAGCCATGCTCTCTTGTAGGTTATTTGGAATCCATCAAATTTCTCTTTCACAAGTTGCACCATTGTCTTGATTTTCAATGAAGGATCAACGCGAATGACATCTAGAAGAGCATTGCAAACGAACTCGGAAGTCAGTAGCTTATGATCTCCCGAGTCGATGTCACCAACACAGTTACTTGCATGAGGGCCGTTGTACCTCACAATTTTAAACGTAGAGAGTGTTGGATCTTTCACTCCTCTAAGCCTCCACGAACAACTACATTGTTCTTTCCTCTTGCACTCAACAACATATTTCTCTGGCTCTGCCTCCACAACTCGAATTGTTTGATTTCTAGCTATGGAGTAAGATTTCACAGCATCTTTCAGTTGTTGCAATGAGTCAAACTGCTGACCAACCTCAAATTCTCCCCCATTGTTATATGTCTCATTTCCTAACCAAGACATCCATGAGTTATTCAAACGAGGATCAACTTGCGCCACTTCATTGAAGTCTGAAGTGGGGGCGCTTCCTTTAATTGCCTTATCACGAGCTTCAATTACCTCTTCATCATCATCTTCATCAGTGTCATTCATCTCTGCATCGCCAAATACATCAACATTGTTTGGGTCAAGAGAATCAAGAATGCCTTGTGGTTGTGTGCTTGTCGAGGTTCCAACATTAGGCGATGAGGCCGGAGACCTAAACTGTGAGAGATGGTCATTGACATAATGTGGATCAACAAGCATTCTTGTGAATGACCCTATGCCCACACTTTGAACACCAGTGGAAAACGGTTGATCCACACTACCAAAAAAATCCATCCCCGGAAAGGAACCAGTGTTAGTTTGCACAACTGGCTCCTTTGGAACTTGTTCAATGAACAATTGCATTGCAACAGAAGAACTCTGAGTCACAGCAATCCACATAGCTCTAACAGCGTTGTCGTCATTTAACGGAATTGCAACATATGCCCCAGCCATAGGATAACGCATAACCACCTTCAACTCCACACCTCTAGGATCAACACTCAATTCTTCATATAGCTTGTTCAGAACTTGTGAATATGTCATCGCAGAATGTACAAACACAAATTTTTGATTCCCACCCCTATACGTTATATCGCTATCTTTGTGGACAATTTCTCCACCCCAATAGCAATATAGAGGGTAGTTCGGAACCTCCATGTTTCATTCTAGAAAAGACCATTATTAATCAAAGATATTAGATTGCAAAAATTCATTAACAGTGTGGCAATGTCCTAACATCAAGCAAGCAAACTACACAATTATAGCAACCTAAACTGAGCTATGAAGGTCTTAATACCTCTTGAAGCTCAACATGGGCATAAGTCATGACTGCTGAGGAATGCTCCGGCGGCGTCGGTGGATTCCTTGGCTGCGCCGGCTTCCGTTGAAGGAGGTGTGATTTTGGTGGAAGGCGTGGATGGGATTTTGGTGAGAAGACGAAAATGAAAGAGGAAAGTGAAATCAGGAAATTATACCTGCTAGAAAACCGCTACTTGAAGTAGCGGTTTATTAAACAAAAACCGCTACTTCAAGTAGCGGTTTATTAAAAAGAAACCGCTACCTGAAGTAGCGGTTTATTAGTAAAAACCGCTACTTCAGGTAGCGGTTTTGCTGTAGACCGGATTTAAAATTTCTTCCCCCTGTACCGGTGACGTGGACGGTACTTTGGGAATTCTTAAAACTTTGGCTGCAATTTGGGAATTGCGGTTCTTCTTGACTTTAATTTGGGAAAGAGCTCGTAATTTGTTGATTCTCCGGTGGCGTTTTCTCTGATCTCCAGGTATAAATCTTTCTCCTTTCTCTCTCTTGTTCCAATTGGTTCAATATACATCTCTTCGATTAGATTTTTCCTTTTATTTGATGGATTTAATTTTGGTTTAATTCTGTTTTTTTTTCCAAAGTTGGATTTTTATTGCTTCTGAGTTAGTTTAACTTAGCTTTATTGGGTTTTTTATGCTTGCTGAAACCTAAATTAGGATTCAACTGTCTGATCTTCATTTCAGTGTTCATCACCCAAACAGAGTTCTTGATTTCAAGAAAATGGTGGGCCCTTATCCTTCCAATCATCAACCCTTCTCTTTATCTTAACACTGGCAATCTCACAGGTTTTTTTTGTTGTCTTTTTCTCTCCATTTTTGGTGAAATTTGATGTTATTGAGCTTTGTTTTTATAGGTTTTGCTTTAATTTTGAACGTGTTTAGTTGGATTTTAGAATTGAGGTTGTTTTAATTCTTAAAATTGTAGTTTAGGTTGGTGTAATTAAAGGGTTTAAATTTTGAAATAGAACAGATGTTTGATTTGTTGTTAAAGATGAAATGCTTATGAATTCCTGAGGCATTGACTTTGTGATTGTTAAAGAAAGTCGATGTCCAGCATACTACTCCTCTCCTTTTGAAGTCAATTAAGACGAAAAACACTCAAAAGAGGTTGGTGATCTGCAACTACTGCTGTAATGTAGTTGAAAGTTGATTATGAATGTAATACCCTGTATTTTTATGTATTTTATAAGTTATTTAATTTATTTACAAAATATATTTTGGGTCAAATTATTTTAATTATTTGATTACTAATAAAACAAGATTTATCCTTGAGTCAATAAATATTCTATCCGAATGTAGCCCATTTCTATAATAAACCCAATCATCTTATTTTGTCATATTTGGGCTCATAATTTCTTCTTTCAAGTCCATAATTTCATGAGCCCAAATCTACTCTAATTACCCTACATTATAAATATCTACTAATCCCCAAATTCCCCACACTAAAATCAAAGGGGGTTAGTTTTATCTTTTCTTTTTCCTTTATTTTCCCCTCTTTTCTTTCACTTTTCTTTCTTTTGCTTCGTGAAGGAACAACAAGGTGCTGCTACTCACCTTCAAGTCCCCACGGCCCACTACCGCTGCCATGTGTCGCCGCCTCCGTGGCCGGTCAGCAGGTCACCGGCCTGGTGTTAGTCCCGCGGTGACACTATCTCTCTCCTCTCTTGTTAAATGTTCAATCCATATAGTATAATTTGATATTAGTTTGGATTCTTGGTGTTTTAAACATGCTTAATTGGTTTTAAATTGATAATTTAATCGGTTGAAATCATAAATTTTTGATTATATAAAGAGTTGTAATTTTCAGATTTAATAAATTATAAAGTTAGGGTTTTAAGTTATTTAAAAACATGGTTTTTAGGGTTCTTATACAAATTGATTTGGGGCTTTTGTATACCTAATGATGTTATTGATTAATTGGCCATAAAAGTATGTTTTAATAAAGTATTCAAGGGTTTTTAATCAAGGAATATTGCTGAAATTTTATTTAAAGTAGTAGTGTTGTGATTTTAATGAAAGGTTTTAATTGCCCATCAAAAGGGAGGTTAATTAGGGTTTTAAAATAATTTTCAGATTATTGTAAGTAGTCTAAAGTGAATTTAAGTTGCTGGAAATTGTGTATGCAAGGAGAAGTAATATTATAGTGTTATTGTCCCTTTATATAGGAGACTTGGTTCGGGAATTGTTGTAGTGTATTTGGCTACTTTAAGGGCTTATTTGAGGTACGTACGCGTGCTCGAAAATTTATTAAGCGTGTAGAAACATGCTAGGATTTATTTAATTGATTCCAACTTAGTATCATGCTAGGAATTATTTGGAATTGTTGAATTGAAATGAGATTGGTGATTTGAATTGGAATGGTTTTGGTGGTATATTTGTGAAACATGATTGGTTGAAATAAATTATTTATTGGAATTGGTGATATTGGAATATTGTTATTAAACCATGCTTTTATTATTGGCATGTTTGAAGGTTTGCTTAATTTGGTTTGGAACATTGAAAGAGAATTTTATTATGGTTCATATAATTTTTATTGGTGCTTTTAAGCATGGGAATTGAGCTATTAAGTGCCTTAGTACACAGGAATAAATTAAATTGCGGTGCCTACGTGCACTTAAGGTGATTGTACGCGGAGGGATAGGATTTGCGGTGCTTTATGTATTTAAGGTGTTTTTACACGGAGGTAGTCTTAAAAAGGGTTCAACATTAAATTAAATGTGATAACTAATTATTCAAGAATTGAATTGGAATGTTTGATTACTTGAATGATTCATGTTGATTGATTGTGTTGTGGATTAAGAGTCATCACCAAATATAAAATATGTAAATCACGTAAAGTGAAAGAGATTACGCACCAAAACTCTTGGAACGTATATACCTCGAGTATGAACATATGGGGGGAGTTATGCGACTTTATATTTTACCATAACTTCTATTGGGAGTACAATACGCTGTATTTTCCTTTTTATTATTTTATGCGTAGGATGTCCGCCACTCTCATGTGACATTTGCCTACCCGGTTAGCTTCCGGTATAGTTTACCTCAATTTATTTGGGCATGGATTTGGTGGGAAACCTGTTCAATGCGTAATAAAATTAAATAAGCTATTTATTTATTTATTTATTGGTCGAGTTGTATGTTGTATGCTTGTAAACATGTGCAACAAGGTAAGTTGTGTGATGCTAGGATTTAAGCATGTTAGTGTGATTCGTTTACGCTTATGTACTCAACATTGCTGATTGTGTATTTGTTTGGTCTTATCTTTATCTTGGCCCTACAACGACCCATTTCTTATGGTGAGTAGTAGGACAGCTAAAGAGAAGCTTTTCAGGTGATGCGGCATATTCATGTTGGGGTTTGAGTGAAGAGCGAATCTTATATTTTAATTTTATCTTGAATATGTGTTTATTATTGATTATTGGTTTATTATTGTTGTTTACTGCGATTAACACATTAGCTTTAAACATTCATTTGGTTTTAAAAGGGCCTACAGTGGTTCCAAGTTGTAGGTTTGACTTCGTTTGACTTTGGTTTGACTTGGTGGACTGTTGGACTTTGACTTTATTTTGAAAGATTTTGAAAATATCTTCCGCTGTGTATCTTTGATAAATGTCTTAGCCGTTATCACGGTGGCTGTAATGCCTTGGCTATTTCCTATTTTGTATTTTAAAAGGGTAAAACAAGTATTTTAAAGGGGGAAAATTTCCAGGGTGTTACAATAAAATAACCTTCTTTTACTTAATGACTTGATGAGAAGTATATTTTGTAAGGCTTTTGATTGCTCTCTTCTCTTATTTTATATCGTTCTTTCTCCCCGTTGACTCTGACTATCCTCTTGTTGATTTCTGGTGTATCTTTATTTCATCATTTGAAAACGGCTTTGGTTAACTAGTTTCATATGCATTTGTATTTCATCATATGAAAGGTTATACAAGTAATCTTATTGATTTTGTAAAGCAAAGAGAATTTATATGAATTTTGGATCCTAATTTGATAATTGAGTTAATTTAGGGGGTTCTTACACCTCTATCTTCTACTGCCACAACCTCTCATGTTTCATTTTCCCCTAACGGCTTGCTAAGGTAATTTGGTTCCATTCTCATCCCTTTCTTTCCTAATTCTAGAAAAATGATGCTGAATGATTAGTGGGTACTGGGTTCTATGAATTGGTTTGGGTTTATTTCTTAAGATAGACTGCTAATGATGTGGTATGAATATTTACATGACAATATGTGTGTTTAACACTCTGTTTCTGCTATTAGTTGTCGTCGATTGAATTTTATATGGTCTATAAGAAGATTAAAATTAATATATGCTTATGCCTTGATTATGAATGGTGTAATGGTAACTGAAATGATTAATAATATATTCAAAATTGCTCATAAAGTTGAACTGAGCAAAGTGTAATTGCACAATTAAATTGAGATTTCATGTGTTGGTCCTCGGTTGAATAAGAAAGGGGTAATATTTCTTTTATTTTCACTGAATTTTATGATGAGTTTGATGTAGTTAGTTGATGTTAACTAGGTTTTCAATTTATGCCTTAGATTTTGGACCGAAATTTTACATTCAAATTGAGATTTTTGAAGTGATTAAGTCCTTGATTTTGATTTTTTCTTTTTTTAAATTGCTTTTTTGTTTCTCTTCACTGGTTCGGATTATGAAAAGAATATCATTGGGTAATTTGGAGTCTGGTGAGGGGCTTAGAATATGGTGCATTTTCTTTTTATGATGTAGCTATGGAACTTGCCTTGTCCTTGGAGAAGCTATGAAAAATTGTTGAACTAGCAAACCATTTTTCTGATTGTTGGATGTCCGTGCTTCCATTTTATTTCTGTGCGTGTTAAATAATGTGTGAAACAGGGTTGTGGGGTGAAATTAACAATGCAAGTCTTGCTGACAATAATATCTTAATTCTCTATTTTCTGAGAAAAACAATGATGTGCAATTGCAAGAATATATGAGGGGCGAGTTCTTATATGAACAGGTAGTCTTTGTGGGGTTTTCCCCTGCTTTGCTGTTTGGTTTTGACTGTTCTCTTTCATAGTGTATATCAGATAAAATTCTGTTATCATTGTTAAATAATTGGTTCAGTGTTAATACTTATGGTTTAAATTCACTTTGGAGAGGAGACAAAAAGTTAGTATTGATGAAGATGTTGGCTCAAATCAAAGATTGACAGATTGGGAGAAGACTAAAAATTAGTATTGATGAAAATGTTGGCTCCAATTAAAGATTGATCTTGTATTTGACATCATTTGTAGCCTTGTAGGTCAAGAACAACAAATTATATATAGTTAATAATTATATGATCCAAATACAGTATGTGATTCCTGTAAAGATCCCTGTTTGCAGACTTTGCTTGAGCTAATTCTTTTTAGCTTATATATTTCAAGTTTTTCATCAATTTCTCTGTGTTTCAGGCATTGGGAGTTTGGATTTGGAAATAACATTTTGCAACAATATCTAAGGAGCTTGTGCACCCATTTGGTGAGGACAGGATCAGATAATAGTTAAGCATTTGGTACGATGTACCTATAGTATTTTTGCAGGATCAAATTAAGGGCACAAATAAGTTGTAGCAAATAATATAAGTGTGTTTCTTGTCTTGTTTTGTTTCCTTAATCTGAAAAAATTATCGTACTTGAAATCAAAAAATATATAGCAAATTTTTTGTGCTCAAATCAAATGCACTTGTACTTCTTAGCTTTATTCATTCAATAGATACAAAGCAAAAGCTAACTTTTTCATTATTTATACCATCCTTGGTAAATGGCGCGTGCTAATATTTGTATATTTTTGCTCTTTCTATTATTTACATCATTTTCCCCCAAATTTATTGCTTCAACCTTTATCATAATGCTTGTCGTTTACTCAAAAATGTGACCCCGTACAACAATAAAATATAAGAATTCAAATAAGAATAAACGGAGCTACTGTATGAGAATGCTACACATACAATAGAGGAAGGAAGAAGTAGGAAGCACTTTGAGAAACCATTTGTAATATTTGATTGTAGAAGAAACACATCGGCCACAAAGGAGATAAATGAGAGAAATTAAGAATGTGAAAATGGTGACTAAGGAAAAACAGTGAGGGGCTTCAAGGAAGGAGAAAAATATTGAGAATACTTTCAGTAGTAGACTATTTTTTTAAATGTACTTAAAAAAGAAATCAAGAGTACTTTCGAGAAGATTCTAGAATTTTTAAAAAAATAAATAAGTTAAGTGTAAAAATGTAAAGGAAAATGGAAAGATAAAGGAGAATGGAGGGGGGGGGTCATGTAAGTAAAGATTCGTTTGATAAATTTCGCACAATCATGAGAGAGAGAGAGAGAGAGAGAGAGAGAGAGAGAGAGAGAGAGAGAGAGAGAGAGAGAGAGAGAGAGAGAGAGAGAGAGAGAGAGAGAGAGAGAGAGAGAGAGAGATTATGTGCAAACTCAATATTGATATGATACTTTGCATAGAAAATCTTATTGATTAATAACACATTTAGAGGAAAAAATCCAACCTGAAGGTATAAGTGTCTTGCATTCATAACCACATACTTCTTTTGTTTGCATACATAACCATACAAGAGAGAGAGAGATACCTATAAACTTATAAAGTACGAAGCCACTAAAAAGAAGGATATAGAAACGAAGAAAGAGAAATAGTTTTAGGAAATAAAGGAAGGAGGGAGAATACGTGTTAGAGTGAAGACATGACAGCACTTATTTAGAATGGCTAAAATGCTCAAAATAAAATATGAGTGAAAAAAATAAAGCTGAATGGAAGGAGAAACAAAGTAAACATAAAGGGGGGAGAAGATTTCAACAATTAGATTTTTTTTTTTTTTTTTTTTTTTTTTTTTTTTTTTTTGTGTGTGTGTGAAGGAAATCGATAATTAGATTTCAACAAACTCCTTTGAATAAACCTACATGAATTTGTAACAAGTATGAGGAAGTCAACTAATTAGTAGCACCTTTTAGAATGAAAATTTCAACATTATGATTGAATCGTGCTAGATTAATGATTAAGTGTTGTTTTTTTTTTTGTTTTATGTTTGTACAACCATAATAATTGATAACTTTAGAGAGAGAGAGAGAGGTGGTGGAAGGGAAGTAAGGAGACAATGACTGGGAGAGAGAGAGAGGGGGAGAAGGAGTGAGAGAGAAAGTGAGGGGGGATGCGTGTGTGAGGCATAGAGAGAGAAAGAGAGAGAGAGAGGGAATGGGTGAAAGGAAGTGTTGAGAGTTGGAAAGGTCAGGAGAGAAAGGCCAAAGGAGATAGAGGGTCGAGGGCATGCTAATTAAGAGAGAGGGGTCGGAAAAGAGAAAGAGCATGAAAGGAAAAAGGACAAGAAGAGAGGAGTCGGGAGAAGAGAGAGAGAGAGAGAGAACGAGGAGCTAGAAGATAAAGAGAGCAAGAGAAAGAAGGTCAGGAAAGAGAAAAAGACAAGGGTTAGAAGTTAGAAAAATAAAGAAATAAAAAGAGAAAGAGATAGAGTGATAAAGAACAAGAGGGACCGAGAAAGAGATAGCTCAACTTATAGAGAGAGAGAGAAAGGGCCATGGTGTAAGAAAGAGGGTGATAAAGAGAGAAGTCGAGCGAGATAGAAGGGCTGAGGGGAGAGCAGGGTTGGGGGAGAGGGAGCAAGTGCAACCTAATAATTTTCACAACTTTTTAAAGGATGAAACAAGGACAAAAAAGGTAAGGAAAGAAAGAGAGTGATAGAAAAAGTTTGGGCCAATAAAGAAAGGAATGAGTGAGATAGGAGCAAGTCAACCAATAACTTTCAAATCCATAGAAAAAGAGCAATTAAGACAAGGTAGAGGGCAAAGAAAAGGAAAAAGAGAGGAACAATTTAGGGCAATAGAGAAATGAAAAGGTGGGACTTGTTCCCTTATCACTTGCTTCTCATCGCCTTTTTCAAATTATCCTTTTCTCCATTCATTTCATTTTAATCTACTGTTCGAAAGTAATAAGACACTTTGTAGAAGACGAGAGAGTAGTTGTATTCAACTTTAATACTTTTAGAGATAAATGTTTAATTAACTAACGAGATTAAAAGTCACCTTATTCTACTACTCAAAACCCTAGAACCTCTTTCGTAAAACAATACAATAACAACTTATTTTTGTTAATTTAAAAACAACCTTGAAGATAATGATTAAGTGAATATAACTTATTTCTTCCAAAAAAAAAAAAAAAAAGTGAATATAACTTATAGTTATTATAAACTTATTAATTAAATTGTAATAAACATGTAACAAAAGCATTTTTATTGCTTAATTCATATACAATTGCACCAATTAATCCCCTAAACAATCATACACCATGAATAATCTTACCAAAACAATCGACTAGAACACACTTGATGATAAACCCATATTATGAGCTCAACACCCTACCAATTAACAATTGTAACTATAATATTAATGATATTAAAAGACCAATTAAAAAGTGGCACCCAAATTCATATAAGAAGCATTACTTCCTATTTTCATCTAACTCTTTAATTTATTTGCTGCAACATTGCTTACAAATGAATGATGTTCTTCAAATATATCACATATACTTCACTAAATAGCTTGCTCATCCTATTTTCTATCTACACTCGAACAACTTCAAGAAGAAAAAACTAATATATAAACACTCAAAGTACACCACTAACCTACATTGTATATTCTTATCTTAAGACGTACAAATGATACAATATAATCTACAATGACCCAATTTTGTATTGATTATCATAATAGCTTAGTAAGCAAACATACATGTAAAACATTGAATATCTTTCACTGTTTTGTTTGATCTTACATACATTTTCATCTATCTCTGGTTTTATGTTGCCTTGCTATATTAAGAAGTAGGCTATATTGCCTTATCGGAATTGGCTGAATGACCAGAGCTAAAACCACAGTGGTTAGATTCGACCACCATAGAATAATATTTTTACCACCTCTCTAGGTCTGATCCGATACGATCATACAATGTTTTTAATACTCTTCTTTCCTAACTTAAGACATGTTTGGTATAGTGATTAAAATATTAGAAATATAATCTATCAACAATTTTCATTACTTATTATTTGGTATGAGGAGTGCAATGCCCTTGTTGGTTCTTAATCAACGTGATTGGGAACTATACATTTATATAACTGAATTTTTCTCTAAGAAAGCTAAATGCCTCGGCTCGGTTAAATGGATCTATTTCCTCAATCTCCAATTTGAAACAAAATATTATTTCTTACTGTAGTGTTAATTAGATCAAATTGTTCATTATGATAACAATTAACGTTACCCTTTCTCTCTATTTGTTTCCAATCCGTTTCCTTTCCAAATTTATACAAAATGTGCACTTTATGTCAAAAAATAATAAAACTAATTATAAGGTACGTTTTGGAAATATTAAAAAGCTTAATAACATGAAATAATTAAACACATCAAATTCAGCCCAATGGAGACCAAGACGAAGAATTATGTTTTCCTTCGTATTAGCACTACAATAAATCTAAACATTCATTCAAGGATAAGAAGTGAAGGTATGTTCCTTGGGGAAAAATTATTTTACTTGTTCTACATTCTTTCTTTTTTTCTTTCCTTCTAGTTGTGTATTACATCCTCATTGCATATTTGAAAATTCTATAAATTCGTCACTTTTTTCAACAATTTTTTTTCTTGCTTTTCTTCACTCTTTCATTATGTATGATATAAGCAAAGAAGAAGGGCAAGCCATGATATTAATCAAGCATAACAAAATGAATTATTATGATTGCTTACATGCATATGAGAATTCAGTGCATGCATTGCCTGCATAAAGAGCTAGTTCTTCTAGAATAAAAGAAGTCAAAGATTATTTGAAATGCCTAAATTATATCCAAGGACTTGTTCTCTTCATCAAAAATAAGGTGATATAGTATGGATTTAGTAAGGTCTAGCTTGGCTTGATCTAATCTGATCTAATTTTAACAAAAATAAGTAACAATTATATAAAAAACACAAATGTTTAATTAAAGCCGGTGTACAATAATTTAGTGAATGGCGGAAGTTGTGGAAACCAACAACTGCTAATTATGTGGTCCCGCACGTGCAATCTCATGATTGCGAAAATAAAACTGCCAACAAATTACACTTTCTCTCTCTTCCTTATTCATTCACTCACTAGCTTCTTTCTCTCTCCTCGTTTTTACTCTGAATTGGAGATTTCTCTCTCCAAAACTTCCGAATTCGAGCGTTTTCTCTCTCCTCCGTTGTTGATTTTCGAGCTTTTTCTTTCTTCTCTTTCACTGGTGAAGTTGTTATTTGCTTAATTCAGGTTCGTTTACTTATTTTTTTTGAGATTTTTGTTAGTTTAAGTTGTTTTGATTCTTCGATTTTTAGGTTTTTTGATTTTGATTTTGTTTTCGATTTCCGTAGTGTTTGATTCTGCAATTGAGAAGAAGAAGATTACAAAGAAGGCTGTAGATGCTGAAGAAGGTGTGTTTACTTAAATTTTTCATCATTTTTTATAATTTTTCAATTGAACTTTCGCTTATATATGTCGAATTAGTAGTTCATGTTATTTTTTATAGTTTTCAGTTGATTTTTTATGCATATTATGATAATTGAATATTAATTTTGAAGTTATTATGTTTAATTTTGCTTTATTTTATTGTTCATTGTATATAATTGGTTCAAAATTTTGCTCATTATTCTTCAAATTTTGTATGTTAGATTTTAGTCAGAGAATGCTAATTAAACTGATTATTTGTTTAGGTTTTATGTTTTAGTTAGATTATGTGTATAGTAGGCATATTTGCATTGTGTTTGTGCATCTGTGTTTGATTAACATGCATATGTGCATTGCTCATTGTGTTTGAGTAATAGACATATGTGTCATTTATATGCTATGACAATGTTCACTTTATGATGTTAAAAGGGTGGCTTTATGCTGTTAAAAGAGTCATTGTATGTTGTTAAATGAGTAACTTTTTCAGTTAAAAGGGTCACTTTTTGCATATAAAAGGGTCACTTTATGCATATAAAAGGGTCACTTTATGCATATATAAGGGTCACTTTATGCATATAAAACGTCACTTTATGTTGTTAAAAGGGTCACTTAAAAGGGCCACTTTATACTGTTAAAAGGGTTACTTTGTGATGTTAAAAGGGTCACTTTGTGCTGTTAAAAGGGTTACTTTCTGCTGTTAAAAGGGTTACTTTATGCATTTAAAAGTGTCATTTATGCACATTATTCTATATTTTTCCATGAGTAATTTCTGAATTTGTAATTATTTCACTTTAATAATTAAATACAGTTGGTTCAATAGGTGGTTATCGTTATAAAATGCCTACAAAAGGAAAAGGAAAGCCTAAAGAGCCTGCTAAGGCTAAACCAGTACCAAAAAAGACCCAGATAGCTCCTGAGAAGAGCAAAGTAGTACCTAAAAAGGCTGTGAAAATTCCTGAGAAGGGCTTAATTATTTCTAAGAGTGACAAACCAGAGTCTAAGAAGGCCAAAAGGGTCACTTTATGCATATAAAAGAGTCACTTTATGCTGTTAAAAGGGTCACTTTATGAATATAAAAGGGTCACTTTATGCTGTTAAAAAGGTCTCTTTGTGATGTTAAAAGGGTCACTTTGAGATGTTAAAAGGGTCACTTTGTTTTGTTAAAAGGGTAACTTTGTGCTGTTAAAAGGGTAACTTTTTGCATACAATCTAAAATGTTTATAGAAATTACCTTCAGTTGCATTTGATTTGGTTGTTTGTTCTGAATTTGAATCAATTGATTTGCCAGGAACCACTTGATATTCTGCATTATCAATTAGTTCTTCTGCATTCTCAATTGCTTCTTCTGCAATCTCAATTGCTTCTTCTACATTATCAATTGCTTCTTCTGCATTCTCAATTGCTTCTTCTACATCGTCTACATTGTTTATATTGTTGAGTATTGGTACGAATTCATCTCCAAAACTCTTTGTTTCTTCTTCTTCTTCTATAATCGATCGATTTAAATCGATTTCAAATTCAGTTTCAATTTGCCTCTGTTTTTTAGCAATTCGTGGATGAGATTGCTACAATTTGTGGTATCGAAAGTCGAATTTTCCATTGCTGATCGAATTCTCCAATATTTGCGTTTATCGAATTCCTCAATTTGTAAGTTTTCTCACTTTCTCTACTTTAATTGATGATCGAAATTTTTAATTTGTGCGTTTTCACCTTTTTTCTTCTCAATTGATGATCGATTTCTACAATTTTTTCGTTTTCTCACTTTCTCTCTCCTCAGTTCATGATCAAGAGCTGCGTTTTCTCACTTTCTCTCTCCTCCATTGTTGTCTGCGTTTTTTTGATTTTGAGGTAATAAATTTCGCGATTTTGTCTTTTTGTTTTTTTTTTAAAAAAAACCTATTAAATGAGTGGCACGTGCACAATTTCCGATGTACAGTAAAAATATTGTACACCGGGTGCATGCAAAATGGATTCTATAAAAAAAAGTTGAAGGGAACAAGTTTTACATCCATGGACAAATCTTACTATATATACAACAAATCAAAAGTCTAAACCATTGAATTTAAAAATACTACATGTCAATAATTTCTTTGAACTCCATGAAGCCGAACCAATTATAATGTCACATTATACTAAATTCTCAAATATGAAGGGGGTTGTAAAATAACTAAATTGTTACATAGGGTCTTAATGAAATCATGCAATACACATACTCAAAGACAACCCTTTAATTATAACAATTGAGCTATTATAAAACGAAACCCCTTCATATTTATTCAAAATTAAGGGGTATTTGGGAAAGTTATTTCATTGATCAGTGGTTATATATACATAAAACAATACCTGAATCGAAAATTTTACTGAAATGTGATTATTCTTGAAAGGACCAACAATCACTATTATATTAACATTCTCAAAATTAGTCTAATCCGTACATGAAATAGTTATATGTGTACCAACAAGTTGTCTCTCTTATCAAGTCATCCTTTGCTTATATATAAAAAAATACCATAACATCATAATAATATCACCCGTATAAAAATTTACATGCCATCTCTCGATTATACTTCATATATGGATAACAATCACCTAATTAAACACGTATATTTGTGCCTAATTGACACAAGTTTATGGGACTTACATAACAAAATTACTCTTAAAATTTAGAAAAATCGAGTAAGTCCATATGATTTTTGATTAACTGTGCAAACAAGCTCAGGTAATATAAACTCAATCATCAAAGCCAATAAGTTAGGTAAGAAATGAAGTGATACTGAAAATAGCAGTGATAATTCTGGAACAAGAAGAAACAATTTCCAAATGAGGGAAAAAAGTTCCTAGAGAGTGGGTGTGATTCCAAGTTAGTAATCTAAAACTAACCAATAAATGCTAAGAACTGTAACACAAAATATTATTTTATGGGGTTTAGTTAATTAGTTAGCTGACCCTCTAACTTTCATTCTTCCACCAACTAAACACAGAACCTAAAGGAAACCCGTCGAGGGTATCCCACCAACTTGAGGAAAATTTTGAAATTTTGAAATGGATGATTATACCAAATTAATCACTAATTTGTCATAATTGTCGTTGTAATTTAATCTTACTTGATTTAATTTGATGGTACCAAAACAGAAACAAAATATGAAAAAAGATAAAAAGGACGAAAGTAGCATATCACTCCAAAGACTTATATCAATAACATGTGCAATTAAGTTTTACCTTAACATTTTTTGTATCATACAATGTTAAGAAAAAGTATGAGTTTAGCAATCATTGCATAATCTATAATATAGCTTGTAAACCCTAAATTATGTTAAGAAAATTTGAATAGTTATCATTTATCAAGCATGATTAATTAAATAAAATGCAATAATATATGATCAAATTAACTTTTAAGAGTGGGTGACTAATTAATTAAGAAGAAAAAAAAGCATATTATAATGCTTTGACATATACTCCTATATAAAATTCCGACTAGAAAAAACCTTAATTAAAACATGATCATAGAACACATAACTTAAGCAATTAATTAATGTAAACTTATAAAAGCGTACTTGATTAAATTATGCCTCTCTTCATCATTTATGTAGTATGCAAGCACCTACTACGGTTAAGTAAAAAGTTACTTGAAGAGGTTACTGAAGTGATCTCTATTCGGCTCTGAGTATGGATTCCAATCCCACAATGAACGCTCCGAAAACGCGAGCCCACCACCAGCACCAGCAACTGTGACTGGAGGCAACTGCAAACTGCTACTACTCGAGCCACCACCTACTGCAGCCGTTGGAGGATTGTTGTTAACAAGTGCTGCTTGTGCTTGTTGTGCTGCTGGCGAAAAGAGATAGTTGGAGAACAAAAACGGTAAATTATTAGTAGTACTATTACTGCTGCTCGGGTTGTTATCGTTGTTAAGAGCTTCGAATTGGAATTGATGCTGTTGTTGTTGTGGTTGTTGTGGCGGGGGCTGTTGTTGTTGCTGGAAATGGTGGTTGATGCAAGCTTGTTGATATTCGACTAATCTATGAATATCTTCCAGACTCGGCTGATGATGATGTTTCGGATGAACTAGTCCAGGAGTAGGATGATTATGATGAGTTATAGAGGTGTTAAGCGAGGAGGGCAATGATGTAATTACACCATGACCGCCTTCGCCTCCACCCACTACTACTTGGTGATGATGATGATGCTTCAAATTTGGATTATGATCATTTAATAACTGCATCATCCTATTAACCTCGATGGAGGATGGTGTTGGTGGTTGTGGTGGTGGAGGAGTTATCGCTTGCTGTGGGGCCACCAATGGACTCACCGCAGAGTACGAGCTGTGGTGAGAAAGTCCAAGGGCGGTCCCCACTTCGGTGCTACTACTAGCATCAGTCTCGCTTACCTTGTCACCCATTTGAGGCGGCGGGTGCTCAATTTGTTGTTGTAAACAAGTTGTCTGAGCTCTAAAGGCGTTATGGTAGTTCTTCCTCTCGGAAGACGACGAAGTTGCTTTCGATGAAGATGACAGCCTCGAGGGCAGGCTACTCCCTCGCGGCACTGATGGATGATCCTCCACCCCAGGCCTCTTGTACACCCGGCACAACGAAATCTCCGCCTGAGATAAAAATCCCGCCCAAAATTAGCCCAAACAAAACAAAAAAAACAAAATAAAATGAGTGTACATTTTTGTCTTTCACTAAATTTGTATTAATTACTAGAAAATAGAAGTACCCAACAACAATATGAGTACTGATCAGTTCATATTAATGATGAATATCAGAAAAAAAAAAAACTGAGAGAAATCAGTAATTGAAGCTTCATTCATATCTTTCACTATATTTGCGTGACCCAACACCAGTAAAAATAGTACTCATTTATTACACTCTTTACACTACTTGGAATCTGTGTTCTTTTTATCACTTATCTCCTAATTTAGTATCTAATTTTTCCAACCCCGTTTTTTTTTTTTACACTATAACCCAATTAGGGTTTCCCATTTTTTCCCCTCTTTTGAAAAAACAAAACATATATTTGATTATGTTGTACTTGAAAGTATGTATAATGGTCTAACCTTTTGATACCGTTCAGTTTCGTGCTGGGGAAGGCGGTATTCGTTCATAATCCAACTAGTTCGGATACCCTTAGGCGCTTTACCGGAGTAGAACACTAGTGTTTTTTTAAGGCCGATGGGCCGGGAATTCTCCCCTCGTATCATTCGATCAGCTCCGGTTGCCTTCCAGTAACCGGATGTGGTTACTCGATTAGGCCTATCGCCATTTCGGTATTTTCGGTCCCTTGGAACATAGAAGAACCACTCCTTCTCCCCAATCGCCGCCAACGCTGTTTTAACAATTAACCAATTGATTATATGCATAAAAATCAAGTAGAAAAAATAATAAAATGATCAAGAAAAAAAATGGGTAAATTGCTTTTGTTCATCAATATATATCACATTACTTGCCCATATGTGGGTAGCTTAACTAAGCTTTATTAGTTTCGGATTAAAAAAAATCAATATATATATATATATCATATTACATAATATATATGTGTATATGATATGATATTGATAAAGAACATACATAAATAAATGTTATAAATAGGAGTATATACCAGGAAGTTCCCAAGGGTCATAGCGATAAAGATCGAGGAAAGTAATGAGTTCAACATTAAATTTCTTGCCCTCAACCTTACGGCGAAGGTAGAACTCAACAAGTTCTTCCTCAGTAGGGTGAAATCGGAAGCCGGGCATGACCATGTCATGCTCGTGTTCGTCATCACCTTGTTGTTGATCATCTTGTTGCTGCTTGTCATTGTTGTTGCCAACGTTGTTGCTGTTGTTGTGGTTGCTGCTATTAATATCGACGTTAGTGAGATTCATGGTTGTAGCAGTTGCCATAAAAGGAAGGCAAAATAATAAGAAAAAAAAAGCTAATAAGAAAAACTAAGAGTGTTATCTTCTTTTCTATTTTTTTTTAGTTCATGAACTTCAAGGAAAAAAGTGATGGCCTTTTATACTAGGAGTTATTGTACTGTTTTAGGAGTGAGAAAATTATTAAGGTAAAAAAAAACTTCAACTTCCGTACAAAGTAAACAACACTTTTTTTTTTTTTTTTTTTCCTAATGGAAGGAGAAAGAAGAAGATTTAATTAAATAAAAAAAAAAAAAAATGGGAGTATGAGAGTAAGTAGAAAGATCTACATAGCTTTCAGGGCCTACCAAAGATGGGGAGGGGGGGCAAATGCGTTAAGGGTGTGTTTTTAAGATAAAGAAAACGACATTTCACAGGGTAGACAGGGTGGCCACAGCTTCTTATTATATCCTTCCTTAGCTTCGGTGGTCTCACTTTTTTGCCTTAATTACTTCTTTTTTTCTTTGGTTTTTTCTGATGTTTTTATTTTTAATGTTGTAAAAATATGGTTTAAGGTTTAATCAGATGATTTAGTATATAAACTTGAGCTTCTATCTATTAATTAAAATATGGATCTGCTTAATTAAATGCTTCTACCTCCATTCTAAGAGGGCGTTTGGTTGGGGGTTAAACAAAGGGAAAGAGAATGAATCCCTTTGTTGTCGTTTGTTAGTGACATTCTTTCATTCCCTTTCCACTTTTTTATTTTTGGCTTTACCCAAAATTAGTCCATCCCCATTCCCCACCCCCCTACCTTTACCATTCCTTTTCCCTAACCACCACCATACCCACATCCCACCAACCTCGCCGGACTGCAGTCACACCTCGCCGGATGATCGCCGGCTCTCCCCGACCTTCGCTCCACCTTCGCCGACTCTCCCCCGACCTCGCTCCACCTTCGCAGGCTCTCCCCTGACCTCGCTCCACCTTCGCCGGCTCTCCCCCGACCTCGATCCACCCTCCCCCGACCTCGCTGGTCGCCGCTGGAATCCAAACAACCAAATTCCAGAAAAAAAAAGTCAAAAAATACCCTAAATGGTGGTGTTGTGATGGTGGTTCTATGGAATCATTTCCTTTGTTTTTTTTAACAAACAACACCCTAAATTTCAAGGGTTTCATTCCATTCTCCTCCCATACCCTTTCCCCATTCCATTCCGATTCCACTTTACGAACCAAACGATCCCTAAAATAAGTGCATTACTCGATTATGTTTTAGGCAAGTGAATTAAAGAGATTTATTGTACATTTGGACCAAATTTAAAATTTTATAGAAGTGAAGAAATATTTTATTGGTAGATATAAGTAGTGCGAGTATATATTTATATATGTACGTATTGGGTTAGTGTGATGAGGGAGAAATAATATGGAGTAAAATAGCTAGAGAGAGATATCTAATACACTTATTTAGAAACTGAAGAAGTTATAATTTCACTCAATTTATATTTTATGATATGAACTTTTTAAATAAGAATATAATTTTATTAATATTATGTCAATTACTAGTATAAAAATTGATTAAAATATGCTCTAAGCTCTAACACACATTAAATAAAGTTCACCAAAAAAAAAAAAAAAAAAAAAAAAATTAAATAACACCCACACACACTCACACATGAAATAATATCAAACAATTAAATGAAGCAAAGTAAATTTGAGGTAAAATGTAATGTGTGTTATTGATAAAAAGAGAAGAAAAATAAAATTCAAAAACACACATAAAATATTATATTGAATTATTTATTTTATGATAAAACTAAATGAAATGTGTAGTTTTACATGCGTTTTAGTTATTTGACTTTGTGATATTACGTGACTCGAAAATCTAAAGGAGTAAAATCCAGATAGGTGGGTCATACACTCATGGGTGGGTAGTATATGTTCGAGTCTATCACATGATTTATGTGCCATTGTTTCAGTAATATACGGAGTACAAGTATTAAAATCTTTACTGTCATGCTTACAGAAAATAATAGAAATGGCTGGAAACCATAAAAAACTTTGAAAAAAATTGGATAGTAAATTTGTCTTTTTTAAGTTTTGATTAACTCTTAAACGCGTTGTTAGCCTGTAAATACAATACTAATAGGTTTATATAGGTCAAATAAGATAAACCATGTAATAGTAAAAATTGAGTTCCATTGGTTTATATGGGGTCACTGAACCCATTTGATCATAAAGTTTGGAATTATTTTAAAATAATGTTAAGATTATTGGAAATTTTCATAAAATTAGGTGTTTTGATACGTGCAATATGGCTAGTCTTTTGGAAAGAGGTTTTCCAATTGGTTATAATGTTCTATGCCTATTTGTATGGCATTTTATTATAACTGTTTCGGGGTTTTCTGATGTCCTGCGGGAGAGTTACAATTTCGAGACTGGAACCGGACGCCTGTACCTGCAAAATAACGGAGACTCCTGAGAGCTCCGCCTCCAACGGTCAAGTTAGTACCTGATTAAGGAGTAATTAATACGGAAATTAAAGTAATAAGATCTCTCTAGGTGAGAGTGTTTAATGTTGGTAATCTGCGTTGTTAGCGAGATTAGCCGGTTATTAGTGTTCCGTAATGTTTCTGTTCTTCTCTGTTCTTCAGGTGAGATTAATTGCTTGATGTTTGCTCGATTGCTTGATCCCTGGATTAATGAGGATTAATTAAGTATTTATAGTCTTGAGAAGCGTGCCACTCTCTAGGTTTAGGGTAAACCTAGGGCTGACCGGGCCTCTAGACAGGATTGGGCCTTGTTGGCCGGTTTTCCCATTTGGCATGGGTGGACACGTGGCGTGTCTCAATTGGTCCGTAGAGGACGTATCTGTGATTGACACGTGGCAGGCCCCTATTGGCCTACGTGAAGGACACGTGGCAGAACCTGGTTGGTCCACTTGTCAGACGGTGATTGGTGGATAAAAATCCCCTAATCAATAACTATTTGCACATATTGACATATATGGATGATAAATGTGTTGAATATCGTGTAACCATCTAATGTTCGATAATTTAGTAGAGTTAATTTTGATTTAGTGAAGTGGCAAAAATATAATGTCCTGGAAATGTAATTGGAGAAAGTAAAATATGTACGAGTAGCTTTGAATATAATTGTAGTAAACACAATTATGTATTTAAAAATAGTTAATCAATTTAGCTTTAATTGAGGTTATAATTTTTTTAAAATGTAATAGAAAAAAAATTTTAAAGAGCTTCTCAATTTTAAATGGGAGCAAAAATGCAAATAGACAATTTTAGGAGTATAAATGTCTCATCCTATTAATAAAAGTTCTATCAATTTTTTTAAAAGGTAGGAAAGTCAAGCATTTTACTATAGTAAAAAAAATTGTTGATTTTATTTTTTGGGTCCATCATATATATTATTTGTCCCAATAAGGCATTTTAAAACAAAAATGCACCCATTAGATTAAAGTTATGTAGAGTGTATCCAGTCTATCCACAATTAAGAATCGAATTTCATACATCGACCTTTTCTGCTGAAAAATAATACGCGGTACATGGTTATAAACTTATCAAATATATGCTAATTGCATGACAATATTATTAATAAGTTTCTAAGTTAACAACTGACACAGTCGGAATTAATGGAGGAAAAACAAACGCAATTCCTAATATGAACAAACAGATTTACAAGCAATAAATATGTAAAAACTCTGGAATCTACCATAAAAGAGTAAAACTCTCAAGAATATTATTAAAATGTCAAAATTGAAATTAAAGATGGCTAAAATGTTTAAATAGTTTAAACAAAGCTCTAATATGAAAATAAGCAATCCAGAAAATGTTTAAACGTTGTTTTCGGGCCTTAAACGAACTCGGATGACTCAAAAAGCCAATCACTCACAGCGCAGTGGACTTGGGCTCGTTGGGCCGTTTTCATTTCCAAAAATATATTTTATTAAGCAGTCTGACTCCGAGAGGCCAATTAATAGAATTCATGACAACTAAAAACTCAAAGCAAGCCTTTTGATGCTGAACTTCTTTATCGAACCGAGCAGCTAATCTCCCGACTTCACCAATAAACATATAATTTATACCTGTTACACATTATGTTATATAGCAAATAGTTGAGTGGATGGTCTACCTGAAATGTTGTCAAGCCCTCATAACCTTTATCATTAGCTTTTTATGCACGCAAGGGTGCGTTACACACTTACACATTAATTAAAAAAATCTTTACATCATTATTATAAAACAATATTATTTTTGACTGGTATTATAAAACAAATTTCAATATTATGATCTAATAAGTTAAGAATAAATATTGTCCAATGAGTTAAAAATTTTAAAATAACAATAGATATAAGTCAACCTACCAATTGTATGATAATTATAGCAAATAGATTATAATTCAATTAACACAAAGCGTATATGTAGTTCGTAGTATTTCCATTAATAAAATAACCAACAATAATGTTTGGATCAATTTGTTATTCAATAAATGTAATGACCATATCATAATAAAAGGATAAAAAGAATACGCAAGATAGTGTAAGTTCGTAATTGATAAGAAGAGAAGTTAAATATTTTAATACATCAAAGGATTGAAATAACTGATTAGGAAATTATTTATTTGAAAAGATTGATAAATGAAGAATACAATCTTGTTGTAATTAGGGAAATTTTGATTTAATTTATATAGGGATTGATTGGTTAAAATCACTAATTGAATTTTAAAAAAATTAAAATTATAGTGCATTTGATTTAGAAAGTTAGTTAATTATAATAGAAGACGACGGGTAGATTTTTTTTTTTTTTATTCAATATTGTAGTATAAGCCAAGAAGGGTACTAAGCTCTTTATTTTTGGGTGGACGTTACAACCTTTCTCTTGTTTTAAATAGTAAAGATATAGAAGTTTAATATAATAAAAAGATAAATTAAATAAGGTTAAAAAAGCGTAATTGTGTTTTACCTAGAATTTTACTTTTGGTATAAGAGTTTGTAAATAAGTCGTAGATTAAATTTTAAAATGCAGTAGAGTTGTATTTTTTCCCCTAATTTTATGTTCTTTTTCAGTGCAACAATTTAATTTTAAGTAATTGGCTTGATGATTTTTATCTAATAATAATTTGGTAAATTGATTTTTGTTATATATTCAACTATTAATTTACTTATTAATTGTACTTCATAAAGCATCATTTTGTTGGTAGATTAAACTTTATTGATGTTCAATTGTCAAATACTTTTCATTAAAATCAATCACAATTTCAAACAACATCTTTTATTACACACAAATTCTTATACGTGACTAGCCATATGGTGTGGCCACTTCACAATAAGGCAATTAATTAAGTAATAGGGGGTTACGGTGATGAGCAAATGGGATTACCTTGACGTATGTAGGCTACTTAAATGAAAAAAAGGGGTTATCTCTTACATAAGTGGAACCATTCTTTCAATTTTAAAACAAAAAAATAGGAGTTACTCGAAAGAGCAAATGAGGTTACTTATTTCTAAATTAGTTGATATTACTCATATAATGAATTAGAGTTACTTTAATGGACAAAATGAGGTTACTCTTATAAATAAATAGGGTTACTCACATATATAAATAAGGATTATTCTTATAAATCAATGTGGCCACACGTGTGGCTAGCCACATACAAGATTTACTCTTCATTACAACTTGAAAGTTGTCTCAATTATAACTTGATATAATTATGATACTGCAGACAACTAAAAAATGTCTCCCCAACCAAATTTGGTGATGAGTAAAACCTTTCATCGTCATTTGGTTCGAGTAGTGTAAATTGATTAGAAGGAGTTTGTGATTTTATTTAATACACTCGATTCATTTCATTTCCTAGCCTGCCTTTTTTTCCGTTTTAAGCCGAAATCTTTATTTAATCATTTCCTAAGCCCAATCCATCAAATCATTAATTCAAACACTAATCCGAGCTTAATACAAACTTTTAGAACTTCTAATACGCGTAAAATAGATGTATTGACGGATAAAAATCATCAAAATCTGCGAAGAGGATAAAAACGCATATTTTTTCGTAAATCTCAAGAATGGCGTGACACTCCTGTACCTAGCACGTCATGGTGCACATGACACGCCATATTTTCTAGCTCTTTTCTATATTTTTTTTTTTACCTTAATTCTATATATTTCTACTCTTTTAAGAGTTACGAGCAGAGTTGAACACCGTTTTCAACTCTCAAAATCTATTTTTTTCTATTTTCCTTAATCTTTTGTATACTAATCATTCATCATTCCTCATTCCTCATCCTAGTGTTCCTATTCATCAATACTACACTCGAACCTTTGGCGGCGGTCCACGGCATAAAAGGTTGACAAAACCCTAAGAGTTTCAATCTAAACTTGAATTTAATTTAATTTATTTTGATTTATATTTTTTATTGAAGTTTAGTAACATTCTATTCATGATGAAGTTGCAAAGTTTTGCAATCTTTGTAAGTAATCTGCGTAAGTAGACTTAATTATTCTTTTAGTTTAATTAATTCTACAATGTTGGTTCCTCGAGCATGGTGTTTAGGAATTGATTCTCAATTATTTGCTAGTATCATGTTTAGGGGTTACATTAATTTTATTATTAGTATTATGCCTAGGGTTGTATTAACACTACTTCAAAATAGGCCAAAGAGACCTATCCAAATTTACTAAAGAGACTTAGTCAAGCGGTCTATTTGGCACAAAGAATTCTTGACTAGAGGCAGTCTTTAGAATAAGAAAGCTGAGACTGCCTATTGAAGATTGACAATCTCTTTTTTGTGAAAATATGGGACCACCTATTAAAGATAGGCAATCTCTTTTTTGAGAAATTTGATACCGCTTACTAATTTTAATGGGTCTCTCGGGTCTCATTTAAAAAAAATAAAAAAAGCTTATTTAATTTGATTATTAAATATTATAATTACAATTCATGACGTTACACTTAAAATTAATTTTTTTACTTGCGTTGACTTTAATGTTTGACTAGCAAGGTTCACGTTAGAGAGAATATCATTTTATAAGGTCCATATAGTCCAATGATGGAAGAATAGTAACCAATTACAAAAGAGTGTTAATTAAAGCCCAATGAGGTGGCCTAAGAAACAAAGCAAAACCGTATTAAGCAGTTGGGAATGAGTAAATACAAATGGAGTTGGCACTAAGAGTTATAACCAACTCACGGTTATGAAAGATTAGGGAGTAAACTGCAACTCATTTGCCTATAAATAGAAGAAGAATCTCATAAGAAAGACATCAACAAATTAGCCAAGACAAAGCATTTAAATTTTTTTTTAATAAGCTTTCTTTACAGCTTTCTTAATTTTCCGTTGGCTTAGTAGCCAAGCGATAAGATTGTTTCTGTAGCATGTATTGAAGATCGATTATTAGTTCCAATTGTAGGAACAAGGAGGTAATCTTTCCTTCAACTTGTTCAATTGTAGTCCTGACATTATCTTTCAATTAATGGAAAACGATTGCATCTTTTGTCACATGTTTGTCCATTCGTTTCTTTAGCAATCCAACTTTTTAAAAACTTCTTCAAAGATAATTTCTTTACTGTTTTGTTATGTTATGTTAGTGAGGCTATCAAAGTTGAAATCAGTAACAATAAGGGTAGCCCCTTAAAACTTTTAAACAAGATAGACTATTCGACTTGTTGGTAAAGAATAATATTTTCCTTAACAAGTGTTTTGGCGACCACAATAGGAGAACACTAAACTAAACCCATTTTACTTAATGTATTTGGAAGTTATCCCATGTCTCCTAAGCATTCAACACATAGAGGAAATGATCAGGAAGATGTTAATTCATCTTAACTCAATCTTAAAACCATACTCGAGGACAGTGGCGAATTTAGGATTTTTGAGCTTGTGGGTCACCTTGAATTGAATTATGTGAAAGTACTAAAAAAAATTCGGGTCCAAAAATATTAAAAAAAAATATATATTACAACCAAATGGATTTATCCAACAAATAGGACAAAAAAAAATCCATACTACAATAAAATAGTCTTTAAAAATCCATCTTACAAGCCGAAAAGTACTACAAATATCATATTACAAACACATAGTGAAGAAACTAGCAATATTCTGCATTTTGTTCAGAGTACATTTTCGCTTCATTCTAAAAATCAATTAAGAAATAATAAAAAAATCCAGCAATTCAATTGAACACAATAATTATACAAATCATAGTATCATACAATAAAATCAAATAGCAATGCATTCATATATATTTCAGTTCATTTGAATACAAATATACAATCAAATATGAAATAGAAATTCATTAATAATTTCAATACAGTCACACAATCAAATAGCAATATATTCATAATTAAACTTGAAACAAATCAAGTTAAACAATAACCAACTAACCAAGACAACCAAAGTACCAAATACAAATATACATTTCAATTCAACATAACAAGGTCAACAACCAAATAGTAATTCAATTATTTCAATAGCATCAAGAAAAGATCAATTCAATTATTCAGATTATAAATAATTAAAATAACAAATTAAATAGTTAATAATTTAGAGTTTAATACCTTGCTTAGTCGGTTCATTAAATCACTGTTTCTGTGTTTCACTTGGTTCGTTGTTGACTTGTCGTCATCTCGTCGGTCACCATGCCGGTGCCGTAGGTGGTCGGCGCAGTGCAGCTGTGGATTGTGGTAGACGTTAGGCCGTAGACCAGACTTTAAGTGTTTAGGAATTGGTTGAAGACTTGAAGGAATGAAGGCCTTGAAGCGGTGGCCTGGTAAGCGGACAAGGCAGTTCTGCTAGCAGCTGGTCGCCGGACGACCAGAGCTTTCCCTGAGTGAAAAAGATGTCAGATATGACTATGTGAGAGAGGGAGTTAGGGTTTATGGTTTCAGACTTTCAGTGGGTTTGGTTAAATGGTTTCATGGTGTAGACACCTGATTGTATCTCTCCAAAAATCAAATTCAGTGATGAGTACCTTTCACGTCTTTGATTAATGAGTTCGGTAAAGAGTTGAAGAGTCTTGTGAATTTCTCTTTAGCCTTGACCATACCCATAACCTTACCTAAAATGTTTTAAGCCAAAATCATTCATTTCGTGTCTTTGAACCCAAAATCATTCATTTCGTGTCCAATTCATAAAAACGTCCATACCAAATTATTTTGGTTTGTAATCCTGGTCCAAATATTTTTTAGTTGGATGGGTCTTGAAAAGAGCTTTCCAACGATATATTATAAGCCCAAATCCGATTTAAAACGAATACGTTATGGCAAAAATACTAAACCAAGCCCAAACCGGACCGAGATCCTCCGTACCAACGACCCAATGATCATGTGAGGGTCCAAATACCTTATTCCCAACCCTAAACCAATTATCATTCATTAGGAGTTTCTAGAATCATCTATAAGGTTCTAATTTATCCTTTCCAAAAAGATAAAGATCAAAGAGTTTGATATTGGATAAAACTCCACTTTTTTTGATAATCCTAACCCCGTTCAAAATGGAAGATGTACGAATATTTTATTAACCAAATATATTGGAAATCAAACTCCGTACGGCTTCTTATCTTTAGAAAATCATCGTAGAACGACAGAACCATCGAGCCACGATAGTTCCATCACGTCGCGATGGATCCTGTCGCACCGCGATACTCCTATCATGCTGCAATGAAAGCTGTTCTATTCCGATTCGAATTCTGATCTTTTCTGGTCACTACGACTCTCTCTTTTCTTTATAAATAGAGGTTGTTTTGCACCGTTATAGATCATCAATAATCATCACAATCATCATAATCATCTCATCTCTCTCTTGATCCCCATGTTCTTAGCCTTAGTCTAAACACATCCTTGATACTCTCCCAAATTATCCACAATACCTCCTTCGCGAGACTTGAACACTCCTAGCCATCCTCGACATTGCCTTCGACCTCGACATGAAAGATAGATAATTCTGAGGGTTTGGTCCCAAATCTATATTTCAGTTCATATTTGATTTATTACTTTATTAATTTAACTTTCTTGAAGTTTACTAACATGTGAATTGTTTTAATAGCAAGAAGGTTAAGGCATCAAAGTGAGTAATTTGATCACCCTTATTATATTATTTGATTTTGGAGTAGGAATCATGTTTACAATATTATTTTAATTCCTGGTATCATGTTTAGGATGTTGATTATGATTTCTAGTATTATGTTTAGGATAATGCTTTGATTTGATTATTAGTGACATGTTAGGATTTGTTATTAATCCGTTTAGTATCATGCCTAGAATCTTACTATTAATGATATTTTGATGATGTTATTATGATGATGATTGTTGTATTATTCATATGTTGCTTGATTCTTTATAATTTATTATTATTGTTTGATCACGCCCCTTTATGCAGGTTTAAAGAGAATTTGTACTTGAAATCACACCTAATTAGATAATTAATAATTTAATTTAGGCTTAATATGATTTTAATTCAAGTGATCACCAATAATAGATTTGATTGTGCATTAATAATCAACCAACGTAGATTAAACAGGTTTAGGATTAATTTGATGTATGTATGTTGATCGAAAAGCGCATATGAATATCGTAAGAATTAAGTAGAGGCCTATTTAGGGCGGGTTCCATCTCTTTTAGCTTGGATTCGTACCATCATCGATCCCCGAACATCCAGTCATGGTTTCAGACCACTTTGGAGTTAGCGATCTCCGTGATCGTGAACGGGGGTGTGACCTTCACACCCATGAACGGTTTACAAGTTCCTATAACTTGTTGGAGACTCTTTTATCTCTAGTTTCTTTTCCTTGGAACGCCGCCATGCCTAAAATCATGAACCACAGTAGGGCTTAAAGATGAGAGTTGAAAAAAATCCTTAGACACGGGTTTGTCGTCTTTTCTTTTCTTTATTTATTTATTTTTTTTAAAAAAAATCAAACTTCATTTTTTTATTTTTTTTTTCTTATCCACGTGCACCACTGTGCACATAAATAGCTCTACCAATGGTTTGGTTAAAACCCACAATGTAGTCACTAATAACCCGTTATTTGCTAATTTGGTGTTAATGGGGTGTTAATTACTTGCGCTTAAGTGGTTTCATTGTTAATTCTTGTATATGGCCACTGCTAGAACTATTTATCTAAGCTTTCTCAATGAAGGATCGAGAGATGAATTTGAGTTAGTTCTCTTCTGCTTAATTTATTTAAAATTCCATGTGCATGGAATTTTTCAAACTCAACTTTGAGCCCCACTGTGATCATGTTTTTTAAGCAAGGTGGCGTCCAAAGGGAAAAAAAAACTAGAAATAGAAAGAGTCGCCAAAACTTTTTAGGAACTTGTAAACTGTTCACAGGTGTGAATGTTACACCCCATTCACGATCACGGAGATCGCTAACTCCATAGTGGTCCGGAACCATGACTTGATATTCGGGGATGATGGTACTAATCCAATCTAAAAGAGATTGAACCCGCCCTAAATCGGCCTCTATTTAATTCTTATGATATTCATGTGCGCTTTTTGATCAAAATACATACATCAAATTAATCCTAAGCATATGTAATCTACATTGGTTGATTATTAATGCACAATCAAATCTATTATTGGTGATCACTTGAATTAAAATCATATTAGCCTAAATCAAATTATTAATATCTTATTAGGCGTGATTTTAAATACAAATTCCCTTTAAACCTACAAGAAAGGGCGTGATCAAGCAATAACAATAAATCATGAATTATCAAGCAATATATAATTGACACAACAATCATCATCATAATAATATCATCGAAACATGATTAGTAAGATCCTAGGCATGATACTAAACAGATTAATAACAAATCTTAGCATGTCACTAATAATAAAAATCATAGCTTTAGCCTAAGCATGATACTAGAAATCATAACAACATTCTTATCATGATACTAGAAATCATAATCAACATCCTAACATGATACTAGGAATTAACATAAGATTCTAAGCATGATTTCTATATCAAAAGAATAATTAAGTAACCGAATTACTTACTTTGATGCCTCGTATTTCTTTCTATCAAAACAATACACACGTAGTAAACTTCAAGAAAGATTAAATCAATAAAGTAAATCAAATGTGAATTAAAATATAGATTTGGGACCAAACCCTCAGAACAATCAACCTTTCACGTCGAGGTCGAAGTCAACTTCGAGGATGGCTAGGAGTATTCAAATCTCGTGAATGAGGTATGGTGATTGTTTGGGGAGAGTATCAAGAATGTGTTTAGGATAAGGCTAAGAATATGAGAAATCAAGAGAGAGAAAGAGAGAGAGAGAGAGAGAGAGTATTAAGAAGGGGTATTGATGATGATTGTTGGTGAATGAAAACGAGGTGATACAACCTTTATTTATTGGAAAAAAGAGGGTCGAAGGATTAAAAAAAGAGTCAGAATCCAAATTGGACTAAAAAAGGTCTCATCGCGGCGTGACAAATCCATGGCGGCGCGATGAGCCTATTGAGGCGTGATGGTGCTGTCCCTCAGCGATGGATTTGGAAATATAGAATCCATACGGAGTCTAATTCCCAATCGGATTGGGTTAACCAAATATCTGTACGTATTCTATTTTGACCAAGATTAGGATCTTTGAAAAAAGATGTTTTATCCGATGCAAAATTCTTAAATCTTATCTTTTCGAAAATAGGATAAATTAGAATCTTCTAGAGGATTCTAGAAGCTCATAATAAATCCTAATGGATTTAGGACCTAAAATAACCTTCTAGAAGGTTGTAATAAATCCTAATTGGTTTAGGAATGGGATTAAGATAAATGGACCCTCCGCATGATCATTGGGTCGCAAGTAAGGCTTGGTTCGGGCTCGGTTTAGTATTTTGGCCATAACTTCTTCGGTTTAAGTCGGATTTGGGCTTATAATATATCGTTGGAAAGCTCTTTTCAATCTCCAACCAACTATTCAATAATTGGACGGAGATCATGAACCTAAATAGACTGGTTTTGGCGTTTTATTAAATTGGACACGAAATGAATGATTTTCAAAGACACGAAATGAATGATTTTTGTTTAAAACATTTAAGGAATGGTTAGAAATGATTAAGGCTAAAAGGAAATTCACGAGACTCTTCAACTCTTCACTGAACTTGATAATCAAATATTTGAAAGGTACTCATCATTGGGTTTGGTTTTTGGGAAGACACAATCAGGTGTCTAAAGAAACCCACACTTTGACTGAGTTTGGAGAAACGTAAGTTTCGAAAACAAAAGTCAAAGTAAGTTGATAGGGACGGAGAATGATTCAAATGTTCTGCGATCCTAAATCGCTCTTTTTTAACGGCGTTACCGGGAGAAAGCATTTATTCTACAAATAAAGGAGTTAGAAACGCGTATCTGGGTTTTGCCGAGCACACGAATCTAAGTGACATCAATTTTGCTGAATCAAAGTTGTTTTGTTTCACAACCTCAAAATGATCAGGGAGAGCTATCGAAGATCACTGTGCTTCGCCACCTTCAAATCAAAGTGACAAACTTCAAATTATGAAGGAGTGCCATCGAAGATCGCTGTGCTTTGCCATCTTCAAATCAAAGTGACAACCTCCAAATTATCAGGGAGTGTTGTCGAAGACCACTACTCCTTGAGCCGTCTTCAAATCTTCTCGCCTTCACTCCTTGGAAGTGGTAGCTTCTCTCTCCTTGGAAAATCTATCGTAAAACCTTATTCCTCAAGGTCTCACCGAGTGTCAAATTAATTTCTGTAGAAATCTTCCATCCTAGAAATTCTTTATGATTATGATCGATCACTAACTCAATCAATATTCTCAATCAATGCTCAAATGTGCTTAATCAATTCTCAAATGTACTCAATCAATCAATAAGGTGTCGTCATTAGAACGATCATCAATCAAAATTGTAATCAGGCCGATCACTAATCAAATCAAGTCAAATATATTAATTGCTCATTAT